TGAATCATGGCATCACTGAGATAATTTGGGGCATTGCTCAGTCTCATAAACTATTTGGAGTATAAAAAAATCAGTTATTTGCAACATTTGCCATTTTCGGTTGCTATCTATTATGTGCAACATTTTTTTTCTTTCCACTTTTAGTAACTTTTTGCCAATTAAATGACCATATTACCCTTACTTAAACAACTTAGACGTCTAATTAAATCACTAACTTGATTTAACTCTTTACCTAATGAATCTGATTATTGTAATCATTTTCACCAAAAATCATTTTCATCAAAATCATTCATCTGCCTCACCATTCATCTCCATCAAAATAAATTCATCTCCCTCACCCTTCTTCAATTTCATCAGAATCATTCATCTCCCTCACCCTTCTTTATCTTCATCAGAATCATTCATCTCCCTCATCATTCAACTTCATCAAAATCACCCATCTTCTCTTGCAATTTGGGTTCGTGTGGTCGTTGGTTCAAATTCGTGGAATTGCGTTCGCCTAGTTCGCGGGTCTGAGTTCGTGGGGGTGGTTTTTAGGGGTTTCAGTTCTAATTCGTGGGGGTGGCTTGAGTTTCGTGGGGATGGGTTTCAGATCTGGTTTGTAGGGGTGGCGTGAGTTTCGTGGGGGTGGTTTTAGATCTGGTTTCATGTTGGTGGCTCAATTGGGAGTAAATTCAATTCGTGATGGTTTCGAATTAATTGAATTTCGTGGTGGTTTCTTGGGTCGTGGTGGTTATGGGTGTGTTCGTGGAGGTTTTCTGGGTTTTTATGTGTTCGTGGTGGTTTGCTGGGTTTGTGGGTGGTTTGTTGGGTTCGTGATTGGGTTTTGGTGTTTCTGGCTGGTTCGTGGTTGAGTTTCGGCGGTTTGGGTTCTGAGTGTCAGCGGTTCTGGTGGTTGTCGGTGGTGATCTGGTGGTTGTCGGTGATGGTTCTGGGTTTATGTGGTTATTATGGGTTTTTGTTTATTTTTTTTGTAGGTAGGATTAATAGTTAATCAAGTGCCCTTAGTTTTTAATTATCATCCATTAAAAGTTTTGCCTAGGAGTCCGTGCTACCCCCCTTTGTTGCAAATAACTGTTAACGGAGGTAATATATTCTTTTTCTCTCTCTTTTTTCCTTCTTGTGGATGCTCTTTGTTTATTGTGTAGTACGTATTATGTCTTTTATAAACATTCTCAATTTCTCATCCAATCTAACTTAAGCATTTCTACAGTTCTGCATGTTGTAATATATTTGCTCACTATTGCTGTCTTCATTTGCAGGAAAAGACCCAAATAGCTACTTTTGGCATGGTAGAGACAATATTACTGATCGTGAATTGAATCCAAAAGTATGACATGTAGTCACTGTTTACACTTTTACTAAATCCGCCTCTCTTTTATTCAAAGTTATATTTCCTCCGTTCTTTTTAAATTGCAACGCTGGGAGTCTCATTGGGGCCAATCAACCAATGTGTATTTTATACCTTTAGTATCTTTAATTGTATTGTAGGGAAAGTTTTAAAAGTTAAATACTTTTAAAATGTACTTACTCAGTTTTTTATTACTTGCACAACACACACATTTTTTGGTTTTTACAGTACTTGAGAAAAAGTGGGTCACCACATGATTTACCACACTTAAAATGAGGCTGATAGATTGTTAAGGATTATAATTAAGTGGGCCATGAGCTTTAATTAAGAGTAATAGTACAACTCTCACCCAAAAAAACCTTCCAATTGTAATATGTTGCAAGTGCTGTGACACTTTCCATTTTAGGGAAGTATAGTAAGTATTGAAAACCGGAGGAAGTATATATCTAGATAAATCTAATAAAATCCTACTTTATTATATTTTTCCTTATGTATAAATCACATAAGACGGTCAAAGGAGTGTTTTTGAATAGTGTGAAAACATTGCGATTGAAAAATAATAGAAAAAGTGATGTTTGGATTTTCCCTAAAGATATCTTGGATTAGTATCAGATTCTTGTTATTGCATGAGCTTCGCAAGTATATGTAGTTCCTAGCTAACCAGACCTTCTGACGGGCCTGTTTTACTGAGTTTCTAATAGGACTTTATTAATTTTAGCTTAACTTGTGACTGCCATTTCTACGTGTGAATTCTTCCTTTGTTTCCTATTTGTCGTTTGCATGGAGCATAACAAGTGTTTCTAATGGCTTTCCTATGCACATGGTTATCCTCAACCTGTCTTAGGCATGACAATGTGTGTGTGTGCGGTGCGTGCGTGTGACTTCTATGAATTTATGGTATACCTAATACCTTCCTCTTTGAAAAACTCTTATACTTGCATGAGTAATATTGAAAATAGGTTGAATTTTTAAAGGTTTTTATTTTTATTTTTGGGTAATGCTATACATAGCTCTTAGGGCTGCATATAAGCATTAAATACTCTTAAAAATTATATAAAATTAGGAATTCATGACAAAAACACGCGTAAATCAGTGTAATTAGTGTGTTGTCATGATTTTCTAAATTTAAACAATTTTCTAGAGTGTATTTAATGCTTATATGTAGCCCTAAGGGCTTTGTATAGCATTTTCCTTTATTTTTATTTTTTTGCGGTCAGCCAAGATTGTATTATGTTTTCGATTGTAGGGACATGCTGCTTTTTTTTTTGCTCATGCATATGGTTTTTTTTTTATTATTTATTTTTTTTATGTTAGTTGACCTCAAATCAGTTTGGAACTAAGGCTTTGTTGTTGTTGTATATTGTTTTTATTTTTTAAACCTTCTTACACAAATGCAGGTTAGGATGAAAAACCTGCTTCCAAGCTTTTTTGCTGTATATTTCATGTTGTAATATTATTACTTTGTGGAATTTTCAGACATTGTCATCCGGGTTGGATGATTATCCACGTGCTTCTCATCCCAACGAAGATGAACGCCACTTGGATCTCAGATGCTGGATGCTTCTTGCAGCAGATTGCTTACAGACCATTGTCAAAGTTACTGAAATGTCAAATGAATCGGGGAAGGTACAACGGTGTGAAATATTTTCAGGCTTTGGAATTTGTCTGTTAGATTAGTAAAACCTCATGAATGGATCACTGCAGGAGTATGGCTTCACTGTCAATCAGCTGTCAAATTTTGAAATTCTCAACAAGGTCTGTAAATTCTAATACATTCTGAAATTCTCTATTTTAGTGTAGCATGTCGTGATTGTCATCCTTTCTTATTTCTCGTGTAAGGGCCATGAGTATTTAGCATTACATTTTTTTGCTTCAGCTTGCTTTTGGAGAATTTTGTTATTCTGTATATACTTTGTGAAGTTTCTAGACATGTTCTATACAGATGCATCTTGATGAGGCTTTTGGAGCATATTTTGATTTTGGCAACCACACTGAAAAGGTATGCTTCTATTTTAAATGTTTTTTCAGCTACTTGTTTGTTGATAGCTTGTAACTGTGGTATATTTTCTTTTGTAGGTTCGATTACGTTCGCAATTGAAGATGAATGGAAATCATGCCAGACAAGAGATGGTCCGAGAAGTCCTTGAGGAACCAAAACTTCAATTTGTACCTCACCTTGGCTATGTCAGCCTTTTTCCGCTAATGGGAAAACTTATACCTCCTGTAAGTTGCAGGTTATCTTGATATATCATTTTGATGGTTTGAGGTGTTTATCAGTTATGAGAAAAGTGTACATGTTACATGTATTAACATCTGACCATGTTTAAAATGAAAATTTTGGTTGAATGAGAGTTTCTTACCCATCCGTCAAGTTGTCAACTATCAGGTACCTGACACATGTACTCCAAGGAAGAAGATTTTAGATAGGATTACCTCACTTAATTACCTCCAAATTGGATGGTTTAAGATGCTCACAGTTATTCTCATAATTTACTTCATAAATGCATTTCTCTGAAGTAGTTTTTTCCCCTACTGATAAGAGTAACAATTATGTTACAGGAGTCGTGGATTTTAGGGAAACAGCTCGATCTTATTTCAAATAGAAGCTTATTATGGACCAATTATGGGATTCGCTCCCTTTCCAAATCAAGGTGGTAATCCTTTCACATATGTTGACCGGTTTTCTTGATCTTTTGCTGTCAAATTCATGCACTTCTCACTCTGATACTTTTAGATTTTTTTTTTTTTATTATTTTTTTTTTTTTTGAAACAACAAAAATTCTGACTAAGCAACTTATTTGATTTGGTCCAGCTCCATATACATGAAATATAATACAGAGCATGACCCACCGTACTGGAGAGGGACAATTTGGATAAACATGAATTACATGATTCTCTCTTCTCTCCACCACTACTCTGAAGGTACTTGATTAAGATACAGAAATTTAAATTTTGAATATCTATATGCTTACATGAAGTTTAGTTTTTGGGTGTGACAATTGTATTTTATGGCTGTATCGATTCACAGCTGATGGGCCCTATAAATTGAGAGCTAAAACCATTTATTCTGACTTAAGAAGCAATCTTCTAAGGTACTAGTAATGTTTACCCATGTAATGCCAATATGCTCACTTGCTACATCTGAAGTAGTATGTAATCGTAATAATTTGTATTCAACGTGGCAGAAATATCATTCAAAACTATTACAAGACTGGCTATATATGGGAGCAGTATGATCAGAAGACAGGAAAGGGTAAAGGTGTCCGGCAATTTACAGGTTGGTCATCACTTGTGGTGCTAATAATGTCAGAAAGTTACAGCAGTAGTTGGGGAATGTCAAACTCATGATCAGCCAGAGATTCTGAAGAGGAAATATAATCAACTACAAAAATTTTGCAGCAGTTTACACCGTGCTTCATTTATGTTTACTGATAATATTTCGCTGCTAGTATTATTGTGTCATTGTGAAATTCAAAACTGTAGTGTAAACTTTTTAGATTTGGAAACAGGCATTGTGCTAACTGGACAATTGCGCATATCAATTTGCTATAGTAAGACTTATGAAGCACAGAATCTGGTTCTGGTTTTACTATTACTTTAGCTGGATTCTTCAGGATTGATCAGTGTGATGTTATTGCACTTTCGAGATTCAAAGCAAGCTGGATTCTTCTGGATTGATCATACATGTATAGAGAAAATAGCTCTCTAGTATGTACTATAATCACATTTTACTCACTACTACGATTATAACCCATTGTAATATTGATATAAAGTTACAATAATAAAAACTACTCCGTACATGTTACAATATCTGCAGTAAAAAAAAATGGTGCAAGCAAAGCCGTCCATCTCAAGAAGGCTCTTAATCAACTACCATCTTCAATCATTTCAGTATCTTCAGACATAATAATTTCCATATCCCGAATGTCTCGCTTCAATACATTACCAAGTCTTGCTATGGCATCAGTTTGCTGCTGTAAAACCTGCCAAATCAATAGTACCAATGAAGAAAAAAGAAAGAAGCTGGTGCATATGGTTTAGAAGCTAAACTGCAATGAAGACTGCGTGAGACGACAATGATATGAAACTTGTGATAACTTATATAAAAAATTAAAATTAAAAAGTAGGCAATTAATATGGAGAATCTCTTAATTTACTAGCGCATAAAATTAAGTTCTAAATTATCCAAAAACATATAATCGTACTAAGTTCACAAAACTGAAAATTAGTGCATCCGGTGAGCCTATGACAGATCTTAAGACTTAAAAGCAGTGAGCCACAAGACAATACCACCAAGCACAATGCCCCCCAGAAAATCGAGTTACTTATGGACAATAACCAGAAGTTGCACACACTTTGCGGAAGTGGAGTCTTGTAATAATATCATACAGAACCTAATGAAGCTGCTGTTATTTGTTGCTCTTGAGAAAAGACTACTCTTAACTTCTTTTTCTATTTGTTGCTGTTATTTATCACAAATAATACCCAAAAGTTACACATAATATGTAATGGAGGTAGTATTTTCTTTTCATAAAAGATAGGTTCTAGTCTTGAGAAAAGACTACTCTAACTTCTTTTTCTATTTTTCTAGAAGACTATTCTAACTTTTGGTGTACTTTTCTTATTAATCAAAATACAATACCACAGCACTAAAGGCATGCTTTTCTTAACACTAGTAAACCCTATGTTAGACATCAAATTTGAATCTTTGAAGCAAATAAGCTCTCTTAAAAAACCCTCAGGATTCTTAAGACTCAACAAATTTCAACCATTAAAGCAACACAAGCTAATTTCTTTCCAAGTAATAAATTCATCCTCCATGCAACAACAATAAAAAATTCACCCTTTATTTCCCTTCCACAGGAACATATTTTCCCTTACAATGTTTAACGAAGTAGATCTCCAACAAAGCTTAAGAATAAGTACCACAGAGAAACAAAAGAAGATACAGAGAGGTGATTAATAAACTCTTTCCGTAGCTATAGGTCAAGGACCAGAGGTTTTAAAGGCTCAAAAGTTTATGCTTCAAAATAGCACCAGAGTTTTCCCAAGGCCCCAAAGCTCTCTTTCGGGTTTCAGAAAATCTGTATCATCAGATTTTTGTATCCTCCTAGATCACCTCTTAAGATTAATCTCTTGGTATTTAGTACTAACAGTCACGATTATTTCATTTACTGATACGAAAATTATTGAGGGAATAAAATAAAAGCAAATTAGAATAGTCACTACATTAATTGATAGCCAAAAAAATGTGGCTAACACACTTAACAACAACAATTGAAATCATGCAAAAAATATCTATAAAGTAGCACCAAAGACCTAGTTTGGTTGACATAAAATTTCCAAAATGGAGAAATTGCAAATTCCTTGGGAATGTGGAATTCCCGCATAACATGGGAAGTTATTTACCTAGCCTCCCAATCATTCGTAATTACCATAAAATGTATTTTCGGATATGACAACCAACCAACCTTTACCAAACAAGCACCTCTTACCAATAATGGCCTACAAGCACCTTTCCAGCCTTCACCTTTAAGGCGAGATACCTCAAACCATATAACCCCCACAAAGCATCTTTATCCATATAACATTCTCCCAAACCACCTTCATAACCTTTGGTTTGTGATATCTAAACCCTCTGCATTTGCTTTGAGGTGTAGCCTTTGGTTAGAAGATAAAAATTCTAATCCCATTATCATCAACGAAAACCAAAAACTTCACCTCTTTCATCCAAGATGTCACCATCTAAAACCCAGTTACACCATAGAGATATTTGCTTTTGACATTCCCTTGACCATCTTAAAAAATATCTAAAAGCATGAAGTTCCTGAGAACCAAATTTCCAAACTTCAACTTGCCTTAATAGACCTATTTGGTATCCTTGAATTTCAAATGTAAACCCACCAAACTCATATTAAATATATTCCATAATAGAACATTCAAGAAATTCTTGTAATCAAACACTTAAGTAGGGGTAAGCCTTCAGATTGAAGATCTTAGATCAACCAAAAGCTCTCTTTTGTGGCATATAATCTTGTCATTGCTTGCCAATAACCCCTAAACTTATCAGGAAAAAAAAACAATCACCAACAACGCGAAAGCCTTAGAGCATTCTAAGGATCTCCAGCTGAAAATAAAACTTAAGACCAAAATACCTCACAATTTATTCTCCCAGACCATCCAAAATCTTCTACTTCCCCAGGACAGCCTATAACACTCAACAAAGAAGAGCTACAACACAATCTGAAGTGTGGCTTTTATTTTGGCCGATTAGAGTGGTGAGTTGGTGATCTCCAGTGCCAACATCAAGCAAATGCATCTAATTAGCATCCACCTTGAAGACAAGGTGGAAGTTTGGGCAGCCAGTAATGTAATGAACCGACCTAAGGGGGGCATTATAGGTAGTGCATAATAAGTTGTTACGACTAGCTACAGCAGAAAATTAGATATAGGTCATTCAGATGAATGTGGATGAGAGTTCTCTTTGAATTTTCGTTTGTATTTTGGGAGAGTGCAAGCCTCTCGAATGCTTGTGTGTATCAGTCACTTGTTGACATTACCAGTTTATCAATCATAATCACCATCATTTCACATTAAATCAACATAACTAAAACTGTCAAGTCAAGCCAGTTCATAACAAAATCACACAGCAGTCACTTTGCTCTTGTGTGTATATTTGATATAGTATTCAGAAATAGGTCATCCTATAAGGAGCAATTGTTCCATAGATCAAATATTCAAACCACTCATGCATAACATAAACTCCAGAAAAATAAGAGATCCTTTAATGCTAACCTCCTGCATGTCGGTGAGACTTTGCTCGTGAATTTTAGTTGAACCTGGAAGGTATACAGAGATACTACCACCATTGGAATTCACCTGAACACGAGATACTGTAAGCAGGTTTTGTACTCGCCTTGAAAGTTCTGCCCCAGATCCTTTGAGCTGCAGTTGAAAGTTATCAGGAAAAAGCCACCTCAAAACTTTAATAATCTTCAGGGATGTGGGGGATGAGAGGGGAGTAAGCCCACATACCTGTCTAACTATAGCAGCCAACTTCTCAGCCAATTCAACTTCCCCTTTCAATAGGGGCATACGACAACCTTTTCCCTCAAGAGCCTCCACAATTCTCATTACCTAATAAAGCATATGAGCAAACAACAGTATCAGCATTTAGGATTATTGCATTTTACAGATGGTTGCTGGTTAATATTGCATATGAGCAAACAAAAGTGGCAGATAAGTGGAGCCTGGACATAAGTTTCTTTGACTGAATTGTACATAACATCTTATTTAGCCAAAAAGAATAGACTATAAAAATAAACCAAATTAATCAGAAACTTTTCTGAGCTATAAGCATACATGGCAGCAGAAGCCTCATTCTCCCCACCATCTCCCAAAATAACCAATAAAAATCATAAGTCCCACCCTTAATAAACGTCTTTGAAGACCTTGCTCTTTCTGCTTCAATCTCTCAATACGTGGTAGAGTGTCAGCTTGGAAATGCCTTTGAAGCTGCATAATGTAGAATGACATTACCAAAAAAAAAAATGTCAACTATTTTACAACTAATGATCATACAAAAATGAACACAAGCTAACAGATAAACAGTACCGTCTTCACATTGCCTTGAGTCATCCGCAATCTCTCTGCATCTGCAACAATAACTTCATCTTGAAGCTGCAGCAATATGGACCAGAACAATCAATTGAAGATGTCTTAATAAAATATCCGATTGCAGCATGGGGCGGATCATAGTTCCTAAACCTCCTTTGAAACATATAGGAGGCATGGATATCCCCCTTGACGTGCAAAAACAAAGGTCATACTTGTATATCCAATGACAGCTAATGATAACATACCAACATCAAACCCACATCCATCACCATGCTCTAGCCAAAAAGGCATCAAGATTGCAGGATAGGCAGAACACTCATAGAACAACAAATATTTGCAACACTGCAAATGCATCCAATTTCACTGATTTTTGTAAACGTTTAACACAATTTACATTATAACCTCAAATGAGTGGAAGTCCAAACTTCCACAACACGTAAATAGATGCTTCACATGTTCTTTTCCCTTCCCAAACCACCTAAGCAAAATGTCTGTATTTAGTCTCCTTTCTAAGAAATCTTACAGGCAAACATAGCTACAGCCAAAGTGGTGGGATGCAAATTAGTTGAGTAAAAATGGATTCTACTCATGAGTAAATCAAAATAGTGCAAGAGCACAATCAATCAGGAACAGCTAGATTTGGACAATCTATGTTGACTAACGAATGCAAGTCCTTTTTCACTCCCTTTTTCATTTCAAGAAAGTCATACATATTTACAGTGTGTTTGGATAACATTAGAGGAAGGAAAAGAAGGGGAGGGAGGAGAAGAGGAGGGGAGGGAAAGGGAGGGGAGAGAAGAATGGTGAGTTTTCCTTCCAAATCTCTCCATTGTTGGAGGGATCATTTTCCTATAATTTAATCTCTTCATTTCTGTCCCCTCCAATTCCCTCACTTCATCATTTGTTATCCAAATCAAAAATATCACATCTCTCCATTTACCTCCCCTTCTTTTCCTTCCATTTCCTTCTATCCAAACACACCATTAGAGACTTCTGAGGATTATTTTTATGAGTCAAATAAGAAGAGTACAAATGCAGGTCCACAGCAGAAAAAAAACTCTAGATAACATTTTAAGGTACGCAAATTCAACTCAATAAACAGAAAGCTAAGGACCTGCCATAGCCAAGATACAGTATGAAATTGTTATCAACTAATCAAGATGAACTAATCATGAGAGGGGGGTGGGGGGGGGGGGGGGGAAGGAGTTTATACCTTGATAAAATTCCAGTTTTTCAAGATCTCATAGTCCAAGGCATTCAGCAATAATTTGTGAATTTTGGAATGAAATGTTCAGATAAACAACAGATGCCTATTTAAGAACAGTTTCTTAAAATCAACTGAACATAACAAAATGACCACATGTAGAAGTTACTAACACCACCTGATCAAATATTAGCCTAGTCAGGGCCACATGCCTAACACTCACTTTTCCATTTCTTTCCGATTAAAGCGTATATATAACTAAATAAGGTGCTCATAGGAGATGCAAATGCCTTGGCCTTGCACTTCACGAGACATTGTTAGATATTTTTAAGATTTCACCAAAAATTCTCTACAAAAAAAACAGCCATGGCATATTGTTAGATTTGTCTTATAATGTAGTTTAAAAATGACAATGTTTCTATTATTTTTCTAATAAATAATTAGAGATATAAATTGTTAAGATGAAGACGGTGAAAAATGAAATCGACATTATATTACAAACTAGAGGGAGTATAAGAGTTATGTTGTTTTGAATACAATATATATCCAGAATTGATTTTGGAGGTTTTTTGGCACTTTAAGTGCACTGTGAAAGGCGCATGCTTTGGCCTTGCATTTCACGCCTTCGAAAACTAAGGATGGAGTTGTATCACCCATGGAACTTTGCTTGATAAATTACACATAAATTCATTATCAAACAATCTAACCAACGGATTTTACGCAAGAATGTATTTATAATCGACAAGACAAGACTGATCTTCTTGAAGTATAAAAAAATAAAATAAAAAATAAAAAACACATAGAATGACTACCTTCAAACGATTTGATAGATCTTTGAAGCCTTTTACAAGCTGAGGCCATAAGCGCTCCCGATTCGTACTATCCATGCCCTCAAGTTTCCCCATAGCCTCAGCCCACATTATCTGCCACAACCAAATCAATACAATTTTACAAACTTGCAGCTACATTTTGTGCTTCAATAGAAAACATACACCGAAAGAAAAAATATATAGCTCATCATAATATACCACATAGCATATTAAAAAAAACTTACATCTGATACACCAGATGGCTTAACTCTGAATTGTGGATCCGTCACACTGAATAACAAATGCTGAAACATCAACAAAAACATTTATTGCTACGTCAAAACCAATAGATTAATTTATAAAATAAATGCATTTTTTCTCTATAAGGAGACTAAGCAGGACACTAAACAATAGATTAATTTATAAGTATATCAGTAACAGAGTTACTGTATAATTTTTTTTATATATACATAGTTCCACCTTCACACGCACAGATTTCTCGCATCTATTCCGGACATCCATCAATACAACCGAAAAGATCTTCGTCGGAACATAAACACCAATAAGTTGTACATGTATATACATATGACTAATTCAATTTTCAGACAACTTAAGCTCACACTGGTAGTTTACAAAACATCAGTCTGATGCCTAAAAATATGACAATATTTCGTTTCTAGGTTATAATAAAGGAATCACAAACTTGAAGGACAATTCTATGAATCAAAATTGAAGAATTCCATAACGCTAATTTTAAGAGTGATTTTTGGCGGGAAACAAACCTTAAACGCGTATTTAGAATTTCCAGGCTCATCCTTGTATGCATCGACAATAGTCTAAATCATCAAAAACAATCGAGAATTAAACACACAAATAGTCAATCAAACACAAAATCAAAATGTAAGCGAATTAAAGATAATCGACAAATTAGGGTTTCAAAACAAAATGCGGCAAATTCCTACAAAGTAATTCGAACCTGAATGTCGCGCTCGGCGAGGGAGAAAGGTAAAGGAGCAACAGGAGCCATTTGAGTGGTGAGCTGCTGAGCACCAGAAAGAGCAAACGGCGTCGTTTGCTGCGGTTGTTGTTGTTGTTGTTGAGGAGTCTGAAATGGCGTCGAACTGAACCCGAATCCGGTATTCTGCTGCGAAAACGGCGTCGTTTGTTGCTGCTGTTGAGTATTCTGACCGAAAGGAGAGGGAGTATTGAAGAGAGAAGATCCGAGAAAAGGCGAAGACGGAGTTCCGAAACCCGGCGTCGAAGGAGTCGCACCGAATGCTGGCGTCGACGGAGTTCCGAAAGCTGGAGACGATGATGGAGTTCCGAAGGCCGGCGTTGATGACGGCGTTCCGAAGGCCGGTGTTGACGACGGCGTGCCGAATGCCGGAGTTGACGATGGTGTGCCGAAGGCGGAGGAAGTTGCTCCGAACATTTTTGCGGAGGAGAGAGAAAGAGAGAGAGAGAGAGTGTAAAAAATGTAAATTGATTGAGGTTTTTGAGGGAAAAGGGTTTTTCTTTTGTTTCCTTTGGTTTTGGATTTTGGAGGGTTTTTTTGAGTTTTGATTATAAACTTTGTGAATGTCATAGTATGTTAAATTCAATTCAATTCAGTTCAATTCAATTTAATTTAATTCAGTTTAGTTCAACTCTAATAAGTTCAGTTCAATTTAATTTTTAATTTCCTTCTATTATAAAAATATATGCAGTTCAGTTCAGCTCCATAAAAATATATACAGCTCAGTCTTTAGTGAGTAGTGGATGAATTTATTGAAAATGAAAATATATGTAGTATTTGTTTTTAATATCTTGTTTATAAAGTATAGAGTATATTTATACGGAGTATAATGGTTTTTCATTAACCAACAACAAGTGATTAAATTAATTAGTAAAACAATTGTTTTGTACAGAGTATTAATTATCAGTTTTGAATTTGAGCCTTAAAACGACGTATTACTGTACACAAATTGTTGAATCTTAATATTGTGGTCCGAAACCCGTTTTCTTAAAACGCAACAATATTTGTTGCGAGAATTTTCATTTTAGTTGCAGCTTAATACGAATTGAATATGTATTGTCTATAGCGTGCTATTACCAATTTACCAAGTAATGTATTCTACAAATATAGTCACCGACTCACTAGTTCATTTACATATTAGGGGAGTTTACTTGTAGAGTTATAATTGCATCATTAGTAAGACTCAGGCTTGTAATTTCAAGTTGCTGCTAAATGAGGGCTTGGTTGATTATTTTTTATGGACACATAACACACACATAACATAAGGCTGATCAAATGCTCAAAGTCAAATCCAGCCTCTTTCCCTTTTCTATAATGCACACATACCTTCATTCCTTGGGTGAAACTGAACTCAAAATCATGTACTCCTGACTATGCATCCCCATGACTCCGAGGCTAAGTACCAATATTGTGAATTTGCACATCAACATATGAACGGTATCGTTATATCTAAAAAAAAATGACTGCCATATCTCGCAATCTTAGTAAGAAATACAAGAAATTGCAACATATGCTATTGAATCATGTGAGTGCCTATTTTACAGTCAAAAACACACCAAATCTAAATTCCACGGCAAAGATCGAAAGGGTTAAGTTATACATGTAGACTACGTCAAACATCAGGAACATACAAACTCGAAAGCAACTTGAACAATTGTACAAGTGCAATGAGACAAGTTACACAGATACAACATGAAAAGGAAATACATGTCAGGCAGCAAATGACAAACTGCCATCTATATTCATGCCCTCATAGTCACGCTACACAAGCATGCACCTGAGGGTTTGATAACGGTGGTCTTCCACTCCAAGCCTGGGGCTGCCTCGGGATCATACAGCAGAGTCCGATACCCAGGCTCATCCTTAAGCGAGAAGAGCAAAAGCTTACCATCAAGTATACCAAACCGAAACCCAATACTCAAGCTTCCAGTTACTGGCACGGGTACCATCTTCCATGAATTGTCTCTAGGATTGAATATAGTTAATTTCCTTTGGTTCTTCCATTCCATGCAAAACAGCTTTTCTCCTAGCACGGCATGGGCAGTAACCATAACACAACCATTCTTCATCTCACACCAAGTGTGGTTATCTGGGTCGTACACATCAACAAACTTTGAGTGTCCAATAGTGAAACTTGACCTCCCGCCCATAACATACAGCTTGCCCTCAAACCCACAGGCAAAACAGCCCCACCTTGGGCGGCGAAGGGACTCTATCAGAGTCCACTCGTCAGTATCAGGATTGTATACCTCAGCACTGCACAGAGACTCACCATCCATGCCATAGCCTCCCACAGCATAAATCATCCCACCAACTTCAGCACATGCAAAATCATAACGTGCAACGTTCATACTTGACAGTTTGCTCCAGCTGAAATCATAGACATTACAGAACTAATTTAACTAAAGATAGACTCAAAGTACATAAGATGAGATATATTGCAGACAACACACATAATAGTTTGAGATAAGCAACAACTTCTTTACAAAAATCAGCATCAAGATCATAATATTTCACAGAGTTAACTCATACTTGGCCCGGGTGATGCCTCGGGTTTATACTTTGTATAATATTATGTTATAATGTTTTATGTATTAGATAGGTGATTCGACTTTTAAATTTAATTGTTTACATACGTAATATTCTTAGATATATTTATGCACTTGTATATTTTAGTTTTTAGAAATATAGATTCATACCACTTGCAATACAATTCTATCTTCTAGCCAACCTAGAATCCTAATTCTATTCAAATAGTGAGGGTTTGTCCTCCTCTTAATGAATTCATAACTGAGGTTCAAACCGTGTCTAGCAAACTTGCCCACTAGGCTAAACAACCTAAACTCAAAACCATGAAATCAATTTCCTTAATGAATGCAGTAGCGTGATCGCTGATTCTGTCTTGGGATTGAACCAAGCATTGGAAGCAAGCAATGACTTAAGTAGCGGTAATAAGCAAGAAAAAGAGTCGAAGAGGCTAAGCATGGAGAACAATATAAGGACAGTGCTTAATGCTATCAATCACTGCACAAATTATTTGTAAAGATCACATGCTAGAGATGTCATGCTCAAAAGGGTTGATGACATCCATATCATCAAGACACGACACACCATTCGATCAGCTAGCTTGCTGCTAAGGCTGTTGATCTCATCCATCATTTTCACTAATTAGATTATTTTTTATATTTGTAGCTAACAGGTTTATTACTCAAATAATTTTTTAAATATCTATGCACCATTAAATTTCAATTTGTTACATTATTCAATATTTCGAATTGCATCTATGTGTAGTTCTATTAAGTTTTATTCATAAGAGATATTTTATATTTTAAAGTTGATTGCATAAATCTATAGATGTTTTATTGTTTTTATTATGAGTTCTATATATGCTACCTCCCCCAGTCGACCTTAAAAGTTCTTTCCCAGTTTCCCTTCACTATTTATTTGCACATGACTGTTAACACAATCTGTAAACACTAAGATGAACCTATGCTTTAAATATGTAACTAGTTTTTAAGGCATATTAAATCTGTTAACACAATCTGTAAACACTAAGATGAACCTATGCTTTAAATATGTAACTAGTTTTTAAGGCATATTAAATCTAAGATGGAATTTAAGATGGAATTAATCTATCTGAATTAGTAGGGCGAATATTTCAATAACAAATGTTAATCAGCAGGAGAGCATAAGCACACAGGCAAACATAGAAGATACAAACGTACCTGTTGAGACTGGAATCATATTGGTAAACTTCAGCAGTGGGAGATGCCACCCCTTCAGAGACTGTACAGCCAGCCATTACTAGCAGCTTGCCATGATGAACCACGACACCAAATCCCATCTTAAATTCACCAGGCATGGATGGAAGAACTCGGTGTTTGTTACCGACACTATCCAATACCTCCCACTGGCTCTATTTTCCCTCTTCGTCAATGGTCAACAAATAGAGCCACTCCTCTAGCAGTCCTACTTGCTTTCGGATGGTAATGAACTCCTTACTTCGAATATATGACCTCCATTGGTTAGACACAGCACCCATTGAGGGAAAGGAATTTCGAGGGACGAGTGCAAGGCATAACTTCGCCACATCATCAGGAAGTCCCGGCAAAATGGGGACATAGCAATCATCCACAACTCGAGGCCTAGTCCCACGAGCGTCTTTTGAGTGATTTGCAAAGCACATGTTTGACTCTGTTAATCTTTTCTTTTCACTAATAAAACCAGGCATGTTCCAGCTATTTAACCTTATTATCTGATTTTTACAAAGTAACCAGTTATCACTCAAAATCTAAGTTCCAGTTATAAACTAAAATTATCAACAACAGCTAGAGAAACTCATGATACCCATCACATATAGGAATTTTACGCGACCAATGAATGAAAGAAGGAGATGAAGAAATCAATAAGGGTTTCTGTACAGAAGACGGTATATGCTTTGTCCAATCAAGCCCATTGGCCATGCCAAAACCTTCACTCTTAAGATCTTTTGTTGCTGTTCCGTAGAGATTAGAGGTGCTGCCAATTGTCAATGAGTAGTTTCTCCCTCCACACATTGCCCAATCACCTATCATATGTTACAATTGCAACCTACTCAGTAACAGTTATGAAATAACAGCATATGCTACACTACATTCAAATTACTATTAACACACAAAAGTGATCATTTTTAATATTCGACAAAAAAGTAATTCCCGTATTCTCAATTCTTCATACATAGTCTAGAAACCAACCAAAATCATGAAAGACATAAGGCAGGGGTAAAATGAGTCATAAGCAATTAATCAGAGCAAATAATACCAGTCAATGCCATAAAACGTAGCCAGAATTATCCTGCAGCGACTTCCATTATGAGGGAAGATCAACTGTAAAAAACCATACAAGGTCAAAATTGACAAGATAACCAATTAAGTATTTCACCAGCAATGAGTTAAACATGGACAAATCATGATAAAAAACCTATTTGTCTTAACTAACAAGGTTTGAAATGTCCTAAAAACCCTTCACGAGAAAGCTGTAATTAGACTCACATAGGAGCACTACATTTCTCCCCTTCCACCGTTAACTCCGTGTTAGGTGATTCCAAACTTATACTTCCTCCGTTACGAATTACTCGCAACAAAGGGGTATTATTTGTGAGACATAAAATATCCCTTTGTTGCGAGTAATATGTAACGGAGGGAGTATTATACGTAGCCCACATAGTTCGAGCTAAAACCTCTTTATGAGAGCCAATGAGTCATGGTTCGTCCAAATAAACTATATAGGGTTACCGGTTACATCAAAAGTCTCAATATCCAAATCAGAACATATACGAGTGCGAATAGCATAGTTGGTAAAGTTTTAGGGGTGGTATTCAAAGACGAAATCTCGTTTATACACATTACTCCATACAATATGCATTAGAGTACCCACAGCCATTAACTATTTGGGTGGTTATTAAGAGAGAGAAAATGAAAATATTAATAAAATATTAAGGAGAGAGAAATTATTGGGGTATCAATTGAATAACCAGGTTATTCAAATAACCGGTTATGTATATGGTCATGCAATTTTTTTTTTGCTTTTTGGTTGACATGGATGG